TTAACCTATTTTCTTATGATATTAGTGACATTTACGAACTTTTATACGATATTAGTCATATTTAATTTTTTATATCTTACAAATCAGCAATTAATGGTCCCCAATTAATCCCCCGATTAGTCTCCGCCTAGTCGATTAATCTCTTAACCCCAGTCCACCGACTAGCTAACGTCGAACGATTTTTACAACCTTGATATATACATATATATATATATATATATATATATATATATATATATATATATATATATATATATATAGAAACAAGATTTGGTGAAGACTTTTTTTAAAGTGAGGACTCGTGATGACACCTTAAAAAAATGAAAAAAAAATCTAAAAAAAATACAAATCATAAAATCGAGCATAGTACTACATCGGAGAGAAAAAAATTGAAAAAAAAATAGATCATTAAAGTTGAAGCATAGATCATTTTTATGATCCATGATTCGACTTTTATGATCCATGATTCAATTTTAGTGATGCAAAAAAAAATTCCAATTTTTTTCTCCCGAATATAGTACTATGCTCGATTTTATGATTTGTATTTTTTTTAGATTTTTTTTAATTTTTTAAAGTGTTCTCACGAGTCCTCCCTTTAAAAAGAGTTCTCACCGAAACCGGACTATATATATATATATATATATATATATATATATATATATATATATATATATATATATATATATATATATATATATGATGGGTTTTAGGTAAAACAAATAAACTAGAAAACAATTCCTAAGTTCACATGCAACCTACTTTGGATCTATGTTTTAACTATTGAACATATAACTTTGAATTGCAAAAACAAGAACCCTAGAGGAGAGAGGCTAATTTCGAAATTAACAAACTAGGGTTTAGGAGTTACATACCTTTCAATTGTTATAGCAAACAATTGATAATCCTCTTGATCTTGATCTTCTTGGAAGCTTAGCACCACAAATGACTAGCAAGAAGGAAACTTGGAGGAGAGAGGATGGAGAGAGTATGCAATTTCGGCCTTAGGGTTTCTTCCAAAGAAATCAGTACCCAAAATGTGATCCAGGAGGCTCCTTAAATAGTTGAGGGAACTAGGGTTTAGGGAAAACCCTAGTTATCCTTTGCTTAGGGCCTAAGCAAGACCCAAGGCCTTATCTTGGACCCCTTGGACGAATTCTCTAGGGTTTCCCCTAGGGTTTTCGTCCACCCCCTTCCAAGGGAGTTCTGGATCCTTCCATTCAACTATCAGTTAATTGCAAACTAGTCCCTGCACTTTATAATTAATTCTTTTAACCCCAAAATCAATTCTGATTAATTTCTGGCTAACAATTAATTAAACATAATGATTTCTAATTAATATATTAATCCATTAACATATTAATAAATCATTTATATATATATATATATATATTAATTTATTAATCTTATAAATTAATATCTCTCATTTCATAATTTCTTTGTCCAGTTGCTAGGTTGAGGGCAACCCAAAAGGACTGTGTTGCTATCAATTCAAGTACATACCAATTATAGTTATGGGCTTAGACACCTAATCCAACAGTCTCCCACTTGGATAATTCTGTAACTATAATGGCTAGTATGCCTTCTAAATTTGACCAGCAAATTGTAGCTTCCAAAAAGCTGTTGCCGAACTCTAACCCAGTCAGTTATGTGTCCTAAGATAAGTGATCATATAACCCTTCGTTCTGCTTGATATCCCCAGACAAAAGACATGGAATGTAATCAATCTCTTTGTCCAGAATCTATGTTTCCCGATTCCTAATTTGTGGTGATGAAGGACTTCTAATCGAACACATCAATTTAGTCCTAGCTGGGCCCAGCACATAAGTCAACACTAAATCATCGAGGGGCCCACAGATATCGCTTTTCCTGTTAGGGCAAAAGGAACGAATAAACGTTGACTCATATGCTTGTATCTTTTACTCATCAAATTATGCATGACAATACGTTTTATAACACCAAGTTACTGATGCGTTTTCGTATCACCAATGCACAACCGACTTGTAAATTACAACTCATATATCTTCGTTTCAAGATTATAAGATATTATCGTCTCAGTATTACTCGTGATGAATTCCATGAAGTAATACTATGAGCGAGGGTTTATCCAATACTCAAATCTCAATTTCTGAGTACTCATGAACGTTGCAGCAATTCTATTGCCATGTCTATCCTTAGACAATCTGCAATCCAATTCATGACAGTCTTAATTCACTACTTACTTCCAAGAGTACGAGCGACTGTGGAGTTTGAATAATCTCATTATTCAGGAAGTAAAACATGCAAAAATGAAACACAATAATAAACAATTGACAAAAGGTAGTAGCCAAACTTATAAATAATACTTTATTATTTAATCACCAAAAGTCAATTACATTTACTTTGTTACAAGTTTCAAAAACTAATCTAACTACTAAAACTAATATCATCTTTCAGTCCTATGCTCCGAGCATGCTGAATATGCTTAGCCCTACTCAGACCCTTTGTGAGAGGATCTGCTGGGTTATCTTCAGATGACACCCTCTTTACTATAAGATGGCCTTCTTCTACTCTATGTCTGATGAAATGGTACTTTCTGTCGATATGTCTGGTCTTACCATGATCTCTCGGTTCCTTTGTCAAGGCAACCGCTCCTTCATTATCGCAGAACAGTTCCATAGGCTCCTGGATGGTTGGAACAACTCCGAGATCTCCGATGAAGTTCCTCAACCAAGTTGCTTCTTTCGACGCTTCACTCGCTGCTATGTACTCTGATTCACAAGTTGAATCAGCCACCGTATCTTGCTTGGAACTTTTCCAAGTAACTGCTCCTCCGTTCAGTAAAAATACCCAGCCTGATTGAGAACGGAAGTTATCTCTATCCGTTTGAAAGCTGGCATCACTGTAACCATCTACTCTCAAAGTATCACTGCCACCAAGCACAAGAACCCAGTCCTTTGTCCTTCGCAAATACTTGAGTATATTCTTAACTGCTATCCAATGAGCTCTACCTGGGTTTCCCTGATAGCGACTGACCATGCTCAAAGCAAATGCCACATCAGGGCGAGTATATGTCATAGCGTACATGATCGATCCGACATCGGAAGCATAAGGTACACGACTCATGTCATCTATTTCAATATCTGTACTCGGGCATTGAGTCTTACTCAATTTGGTATTGCTCTGGATAGGTAGCTCTCCCAAAAATAATACAATAAGTAAGAATTAAAACCTACTCCCGGTTGCGATCACGAGAGGATTTAGCCGCGCATTGTAGACTTATACAAACTCATATTTGTATTCTTGAATTCTTGATGTCTTGATCTTGAATCTTGAAAAGTCTTGAATCTTTGATGGCTTGAATTCTTTTGAAAAAGAAAGGAATTTGGAAGACTAAAATGCTTCCAAAAAAATATAGAAATTTCCTAAAGAAGGTGGTGGTATGAAAGTAGGTTGGTATAAGAGGTATAAGAGGTATAAGAGGTGTCTTAGAGATAAGAGGTGTGTAAGAATGTAAGAGGTGTTAGAGGTAAGAGGTGTTAGAGGTAAGAGGTGTTAGAGGTAAGAGGTGTGTTGAAATGATGATTTTGAGGTGGTATTTATAGTGAATTTTTGGAAAATTAAATACCAAAAAGAATGAAATAAAGCTAGGAATATTAAGCTTTTAGATTGGATCTAAGATCCAATCTAAATCTCATGAAAAAGAATTCAAAAGAATTAAAAAGATGGAATTATTTGGTTTTGTTGGGAAGAATTTGGGTTTAAAATAGGAAAAGTGGTGAAAAAGTGGTTAAAATTGGTTGGAAAGTGTTTAAAAGATAGGAAAACCCGTAGGTTCAGCACATGGCACAAGTACTTGGAGCTGGCATCAAAACGGCGTCGTTTAGGGCCATTTTTCACGGGTCCAGATCGGGTCCGAGTTGGGTCGAGACGCGGATCTTCTATGAGAAGAAACGGAGCGGCAACGGGGCGGAGCTGGGTCGAAACCGGTGCGGGTCGGATGCGACGACCTCACGAATGACGTCATCAAGAACAAAAGGTGCGGATCCTAACCCGGGTCGAAGCCGGGTATGGATCGAACAGATCGGATCTGCTGTGAGGAGAAATGGAGGCGGGGCGGAAACCGGATCGGGCTCGGATCTGGTTCGGATATTCCGGATCTGGGTCGCGATTTTTGGATCAGGCCTTCTTTTTGGGCTCCGGGTTTGGGCTCATTCCGAATTTTTTTTTGTGTGAATTAAATTAAATTAAATTAATTTAATTAATATAAATTATTTTTTTAGAAATTAAATAATTAATTCCCAATAATCTATTTAATTAAACCTCATTAATTAATTTAACTTCTTTTTATTTTTATTAAAAAAAACATGATTTTTATATATTATTTTTATTTTGATTTTATTAAAAAAATACATTTAATTAAATTAAATTATTTAGAAAATAATAAAATTATTATTTCCTAAATAAATCATTTTAATTAAATTATAATATTTTAAAAATACAATTTTTCAATTTTTTATTTTGTTTTCTCGTCTTTCCAAACCCGAACATCTTCAATTCTTTTGTTTTCAATCTTGATTTCTCTTCGTGTAATTCCTTGAACTTCTTTTTGCATCTTTTTGTACCATTTTCATCATATTTACCACCTACAAACATAATTCAAATACATGTCAAAGTAGCATCATTCTTAGATAAAATCGGTTATTTTACATAAATTATAGTATATTAAGCGTGATGTAAAATATACCGATCAAACCTCCCCAACTTATCTCTTTCTCGTCCCGAGAAAGATCCAAATGTAATTGATTAGCGTGCTAGAAAACTTCTTTGATGTTTTTGAAAACTAAAGATATGAATTATATCTTGACTTGCAGAGACCCATCTCAATGCTAGATTTAGGGTTTATTGTTGATGAAGCTCCATAAGTGAATCCTTCAAAGCTGTTCTATGCCATATAATCTTCTAGAGATTTCCCCTTCACCACTTAGTTTGAAAACTTGATAAAAGTTTATATCTTTTAAAAAATGAATATTTGCAAGCGGATACTACCATCAAGATTATCATCATACACTCATGCCCTTGCATCTTACAAAGCTTCGTTTTCTTTCTTTCATTCCTCACCAGACACTTCAATTCAAGTTCATTCCGAAGAACAAGAAGTAGTAATTGCTTTAGGTAGCAATGTAGGCAATAGGCTCAACAACTTCAATGAAGCCTTAACACAAATGAAGAAATCCGGTTTACAAATCACAAGACACGCGTGTCTATACGAAACCGAGCCTGCATATGTCACCGATCAGCCTCTCTTTCTCAATTCAGCCATTAGAGCCACCACAAAACTTGGGCCCCATGAACTACTTTCAGTCTTGAAAAAAATCGAAAAAGAAATGGGCCGAACCAAAGGGATCCGGTATGGCCCACGACCCATCGACTTAGATATATTATTCTACGGAAAATACAAAATCAAATCCGAAAGCCTCACAGTTCCCCATGAAAGAATCTTTGAGAGACGAGCGGTCGTTGTCGCGTCAAAAATAAACCTTATTTCCACTAATCTAGCGAGTGGTAAGTAAGGGACGGATCCAGATGAGCTTATGGTTAATAGTTTAGTTACTATTTTGATTTAACGATAAAGATATAATGATTAATTTGAGATTTATAAATATGATGACAAAAAAAAAATATATGATTTTAATTCAATTAAAAAAAATGATCGCTTCCGGTTTCAGAATTAATAATTATATGAATTAGAAATGAGTGTTATTAATTTTTCATAGTTGATTCAATTAAAGTCTAAGTCCAAAATAGAAAATAAGTGTAACCGCACCCTCCGTCCTACACACCGCTATTGGATGATTTGGCACGGTGGGGAGATCACTTAAAATTATTTTAAACTTGGAATAATTAATTGATAAATGAATAAAATAAGTGTAACGATTTTATAATGTTAAAAACATAAACAAAATCCACAAATAATATTCAACAAATTCAAATGTTCACACCCAAAAATAATACAATAAGTAAGAATTAAAACCTACTCCCGGTTGCGATCACGAGAGGATTTAGCCGCGCATTGTAGACTTATACAAACTCATATTTGTATTCTTGAATTCTTGATGTCTTGATCTTGAATCTTGAAAAGTCTTGAATCTTTGATGGCTTGAATTCTTTGAAAAAGAAAGGAATTTGGAAGACTAAAATGCTTCCAAAAAATATAGAAATTTCCTAAAGAAGGTGGTGGTATGAAAGTAGGTTGGTATAAGAGGTATAAGAGGTATAAGAGGTGTCTTAGAGATAAGAGGTGTGTAAGAATGTAAGAGGATGCCTTAGAGGTAAGAGGTGTTAGAGGTAAGAGGTGTTAGAGGTAAGAGGTGTTAGAGGTAAGAGGTGTGTTGAAATGGTGATTTTGAGGTGGTATTTATAGTGAATTTTTGGAAAATTAAATACCAAAAAGAATGAAATAAAGCTAGGAATATTAAGCTTTTAGATTGGATCTAAGATCCAATCTAAATCTCATGAAAAAGAATTCAAAAGAATTAAAAAGATGGAATTATTTGGTTTTGTTGGGAAGAATTTGGGTTTAAAATAGGAAAAGTGGTGAAAAAGTGGTTAAAATTGGTTGGAAAGTGTTTAAAAGATAGGAAAACCCGTAGGTTCAGCACATGGCACAAGTACTTGGAGCTGGCATCAAAACGGCGTCGTTTAGGGCCATTTTTCACGGGTCCAGATCGGGTCCGAGTTGGGTCGAGACGCGGATCTTCTATGAGAAGAAACGGAGCGGCAACGGGGCGGAGCTGGGTCGAAACCGGTGCGGGTCGGATGCGACGACCTCACGAATGACGTCATCAAGAACAAAAGGCGCGGATCCTAACCCGGGTCGAAGCCGGGTATGGATCGAACAGATCGGATCTGCTGTGAGGAGAAATGGAGGCGGGGCGGAAACCGGATCGGGCTCGGATCTGGTTCGGATATTCCGGATCTGGGTCGCGATTTTGGATCAGGCCTTCTTTTTGGGCTCCGGGTTTGGGCTCATTCCGAATTTTTTTTTGTGTGAATTAAATTAAATTAAATTAATTTAATTAATATAAATTATTTTTTTAGAAATTAAATAATTAATTCCCAATAATCTATTTTAATTAAACCTCATTAATTAATTTAACTTCTTTTTATTTTTATTAAAAAAAACATGATTTTTATATATTATTTTTATTTTGATTTTATTAAAAAAAATACATTTAATTAAATTAAATTATTTAGAAAATAATAAAATTATTATTTCCTAAATAAATCATTTTAATTAAATTATAATTATTTTAAAAATACAATTTTTCAATTTTTTATTTTGTTTTCTCGTCTTTCCAAACCCGAACATCTTCAATTCTTTTGTTTTCAATCTTGATTTCTCTTCGTGTAATTCCTTGAACTTCTTTTTGCATCTTTTTGTACCATTTTCATCATATTTACCACCTACAAACATAATTCAAATACATGTCAAAGTAGCATCATTCTTAGATAAAATCGGTTATTTTACATAAATTATAGTATATTAAGCGTGATGTAAAATATACCGATCAAACCTCCCCAACTTATCTCTTTCTCGTCCCGAGAAAGATCCAAATGTAATTGATTAGCGTGCTAGAAAACTTCTTTGATGTTTTTGAAAACTAAAGATATGAATTATATCTTGACTTGCAGAGACCCATCTCATGCTAGATTTAGGGTTTATTGTTGATGAAGCTCCATAAGTGAATCCTTCAAAGCTGTTCTATGCCATATAATCTTCTAGAGATTTCCCCTTCACCACTTAGTTTGAAAACTTGATAAAAGTTTATATCTTTTAAAAAATGAATATTTGCAAGCGGATACTACCATCAAGATTATCATCATACACTCATGCCCTTGCATCTTACAAAGCTTCGTTTTCTTTCTTTCATTCCTCACCAGACACTTCAATTCAAGTTCATTCCGAAGAACAAGAAGTAGTAATTGCTTTAGGTAGCAATGTAGGCAATAGGCTCAACAACTTCAATGAAGCCTTAACACAAATGAAGAAATCCGGTTTACAAATCACAAGACACGCGTGTCTATACGAAACCGAGCCTGCATATGTCACCGATCAGCCTCTCTTTCTCAATTCAGCCATTAGAGCCACCACAAAACTTGGGCCCCATGAACTACTTTCAGTCTTGAAAAAAATCGAAAAAGAAATGGGCCGAACCAAAGGGATCCGGTATGGCCCACGACCCATCGACTTAGATATATTATTCTACGGAAAATACAAAATCAAATCCGAAAGCCTCACAGTTCCCCATGAAAGAATCTTTGAGAGACGAGCGGTCGTTGTCGCGTCAAAAAATAACCTTATTTCCACTAATCTAGCGAGTGGTAAGTAAGGGACGGATCCAGATGAGCTTATGGTTATAGTTTAGTTACTATTTTGATTTAACGATAAAGATATAATGATTAATTTGAGATTTATAAATATGATGACAAAAAAAAAATATATGATTTTAATTCAATTAAAAAAAATGATCGCTTCCGGTTTCAGAATTAATAATTATATGAATTAGAAATGAGTGTTATTAATTTTTCATAGTTGATTCAATTAAAGTCTAAGTCCAAAATAGAAAATAAGTGTAACCGCACCCTCCGTCCTACACACCGCTATTGGATGATTTGGCACGGTGGGGAGATCACTTAAAATTATTTTAAACTTGGAATAATTAATTGATAAATGAATAAAATAAGTGTAACGATTTTATAATGTTAAAAACATAAACAAAATCCACAAATAATATTCAACAAATTCAAATGTTCACACCCAAAAATAATACAATAAGTAAGAATTAAAACCTACTCCCCGGTTGCGATCACGAGAGGATTTAGCCGCGCATTGTAGACTTATACAAACTCATATTTGTATTCTTGAATTCTTGATGTCTTGATCTTGAATCTTGAAAAGTCTTGAATCTTTGATGGCTTGAATTCTTTGAAAAAGAAAGGAATTTGGAAGACTAAAATGCTTCCAAAAAAATATAGAAATTTCCTAAAGAAGGTGGTGGTATGAAAGTAGGTTGGTATAAGAGGTATAAGAGGTATAAGAGGTGTCTTAGAGATAAGAGGTGTGTAAGAATGTAAGAGGGTGCCTTAGAGGTAAGAGGTGTTAGAGGTAAGAGGTGTTAGAGGTAAGAGGTGTGTTCAAAACTATATAAAATACACCAATCACACAACAATACTTTTGGAAGAAATCATAGGCCAACAATGCAAAATTATTGGAATAAACCTTCTCAATATATATATATATATATATATATATATATATATATATCACTTTAGGTTCAAGTGATAACTATTTGTTGTACTGTAACACCGAAATTTTAAACAATTTTTCACATTTTCGAAAACATACTTTCATTCATAAATATCATAAAAAACGTCATTGTATCACATATCAATCCATAGAAACACAACCCCAAGATCATAATGTATAAAACTCCTCATGTGTGTACTGATCATGCCGGCGCCTTCCCGCGATCCTCACTTGTACATGAAACACATAACACAACACTGTAAGCATAAATGCTTAGTGAGTTCCCCAAAATACCACATATAACACATATTAGTCACTCGAGGCTATAACTCTGTGGGCCCACTGGCCCTAACTCTGTGGACCCTCTGGTCCTAACTTTGTGGACCTTCCGGTCCTATCTCTGTAAACTCTGGAATACACACAACATAAATCACATAGAAATAATGCAGTGCAACACATCACATACGTAGCATACGAGATACTCTGTCACATAACTCTATTTGCCACTCAAGGTAAAGTATAGTGAGAAGACTCACCTTGAGTAACTCGGTAAATCTCGAGCTCGGTAAAATCTGGTCTAGCCTCCGCCTAATCACATGGAATAAACAATCTAATCAATACAACCCTCAAGGCTAGACTAATCCCTCTCTTAGTACTCTCGGAAGGGTAAAATACCATTTTACCCCTCTCATGGCTCAAAGACCCTAACATTGACCAAACCCTAAAAGTCAACAAAAGTCAACGGTCAAACTTTGACCAGACTCGTCGAGTGCACTCGTGTGATTCGGCGAGTACATGCATGTCCTCTTTGCCCCTGGTCCTCACTCGACTCGCTGAGTCAACCCTACACCCAACGGGTTATCACAGGTCGCGAATCGCAGGGCAACCCGACTCGACTCGTCGAGTCCCTTATGGGCTCGGCGAGTTCCTCCCATGAAAACACTCAAACAATCTTTTGAGGTCAGATCTGCTTCACCAACCAGTAGATCCAACCTTCTAACACTCGAAAGTCACGTAAAGGTTCAAACTTTACGTTCATGCAATGCTTATAAGACCAAAAATGGAGAAATAACCTTTAAAATGGGGTTTTACTCTCAAGGCTCACATGAAACCTCATAAAGCTGGAAGCTTGGGACCTTTTAGACCTCTCAAGGTCCATATCTATCATCTATACCCAAAGGGACCTCATATGCTTCACAATCTAACTCAAAATTATGCAAAGGAAACCCTAGATTCAAGGAATCTATCAAATACACGAAATGG